AGAGGGATGAAGGAAGGCACTCTGACTCCAACCTGCCCTACTTTTACGAGGGAGGTGTTTGAAAGCGCCTTCCCCAGAATCCATCCTTCTAGACAACTGTCTCCCCGGATAAACTGGCACTTTTCAGAAACCAAGAGAAGGATGCATTCTAAAATACTCTTTAAAATAGGGCCAATGTGCTCTTAGGGTGCCGACGAAGCCTAACCCAGTAGACTCCTCATTAATGAGCCTCAAAGAGAGCATTAATTAAACCCTGGGAACTACAGGGTTTTGAGCCGTTGGAAATTATGTTTTAAAAATAGACAGCTTTGGTTTCTCCTGGCTCTAAACTCTATGATTCTGGGTGTGACACACTTATCACCTACCAGTTCTTATGTTCAGTTGGCGCCTTCTATATTTCTCAGAAAGTGCCAAGAAAACATTTGTGCTCTAGTGTACCTACCAGACCGGACTCTACTGTGAGGGCTTTAAACAATAAGGGGGTGTGGCTCCCGCATGTTCATCAGACCCTGTTGGGCCCTACTGCGTGGAAAGTCACTCATTTAGCAGTTATTTTTTTTACTTGTTTCAAATGATTTGTTATAACATGTTTTTTATCCTGGGTGCACAGGATTTGCAATTTTTTTAAAAAACACAGATCATCTGTCAGTGGTGTGGTCTTAATAGGCTAAGCAGGCACATTTACAAAAGTGGGTCCCCGGGAGCTGGGTGCTGATGGGGAGCCACAGACGCTATTCCGTGTCCAGTCTCTTTCCTCCACAAGCTCAGTGTGCTAGCTGCTCTTCTCTTCTTGCCTCCTCCTTCCTCCTCTGTCACTCTCCATGACAGGGAAAGCAGAAAGTCCAAAATCCACACTAGGAGACATGAAAGCAGTAAGACATGGTGCCCACCTTAGGCTTAATTTTGCTTTGGATTAAAAAGGGCATGTCTTTGTCCCCTTATAATTTAATCATTTGACTTACCTTTCAAACCCCAAACCTCTAAATGCTGTCTTCCCACTGCAGAAGAAGCCTAATTGTTAGAGATAAACAATAGGCGTTAAGTGGGTGACTCTAACGACTTTCCTGAGCTTCGGTTTCTCCCAACGTGGAGCAGAGGATGATAGTTTCCACCTGACGGCATCTTTTTTTTTTTTTATTGATTGTTCAAAACATTACAGAGCTCATGATATATCATCTTTCATACATTTGACTCAATTGGGTTTTGGACTCCCCATATACATATTGCAGACTCACTTCTGTTACATATTCACATTTTTACATAATGGCATATTAGTGACTGTTGTATTCTGCTACCTTTCCTATCCCCTACTATCCCCCCTCCCCTCCCCTCCCCTTCCATCTTCCCTCTCTACCTCCTCTGCTGTTGTTCAATTCTCTCCCCTTTTTTCCCCCTCCCCCTTGCCCCTCATAACCTCTTATAATTTTGTGTATCACTGAAGGTCTCCTACCATTTCCATATGCTTTCCCTTCTCTCTCCCTTTCTCTCCCCCCATTCGTCTTAGCTTACTGTTAGTCTTTTCCTCATGCTCTTCCTTCCTGTTCTATTCTTAGTGGCTCTCTTTATATCAAAGAAGACATTTGACATTTGTTTTTTAGGGCTTGGCTAGCTTCACTTAGCATAATCTGCTCTAATGCCATCCATTTCCCTGCAAATTCTATGATTTTGTCATTTCTTAGTGCTGCATAATACTCCATTGTGTATAGCTGCCACAATTTTTTTATCCACTTCCTGACGGCATCTTTGCAACGCCCTGGCATGTGTGTGAGTGGGGTGCACCTCTAGGTTTCCTTGTCAGTGTGTGGGTGCCCGTGGAACGGGGTTCCTTGAAGGATAGAGCAGTTAGCGCCATTGCCAAGCACTGAGAGAGCTCATCGGGGAACGCGGGTATCACAGGGAGCACAAGCAGCCAGGCTCACAGGTGAAATCTCTCTGTAGCACTTCAGGTGGGGACAGAGCTACTGCCACCATGGACAGAGGAGGCAGAGGCCCCACCCCACCCCACCCCGGCACAGTTGCTGACTGAGAATAATGATGCTCGTTTTAGTTAGATTTGTCACTAATGTGACTCAAGGACCCGACCAGAACAAGTAGAGAGGAGGAAAAGTTTATTTGGGGGCTCACGGTTTCAGGGGTCTCACTCCATAGACAGCAGGCTCCTTTCCATGGGGCTAAGGTGAGGCTGCATATCAGGCGAAGAGTGTGGTGGAGGGAAGCAGCTCACATGATGATCAGGAAGCAGAGAAGGAAACTCCACTCACCAGATAAAAATATAGACCCCAAAGGCACGCCCCGTGCCCACCTCCTCCGGCCCACCCCACCTGCCTTCAGTTACCACTCAGTCACCACTAACCCCACTCGGGGCTGAGTCACTGTTTGGGTAAGACTCTCGCAACTCAATCACTTCTCCCCTGAACTTTCTCCCATTGTCTCACAGGGCAGCTTTTGGGGGACCTCACATCTAAACCTTAACCGTGGCACTGCTGACATTATGAGCTCTGGGGCTCTTTACACCTGACCATTGCTGTTGCCACCCCTGTCACAGCTGCCAGAACAAAACCCTTCCCTGCCCTGGTCAGACTCCAGGTGGCTCCTGGGATTGGCTGAGTCTGATCACAGGGCCCCTAGGCTTGCCACCTGGGAGTCCTGGAGAGACTATTCAACCTTCTCATTTTCTTTAACGGGAGACAAACTCTGTAGAGAAGGCAATTAAGAAACCAATCAACGTGCAACAAAACTTGACTCCATCTTCAGGCATCTCGCTTCCTGCCATATTATGGGGCTAAAATATATTCTACCAATACCCAGTTATGAAGTGTATGGGAGATGAATAAATAGAGCTCCAGGGTATTGTTTCTCTTTTAATGTGGATTTATGCTTCCAGGGAGAACACGGCACACCCAGGCGTGCAAGGCCAGGAAGTGGGGGGGTGGTTCAAGATGAAGGGAATGAGTCAGCAGCAGTCCAGAGAATCACAGTTGAACTGGGGCCCAGCCCTGGAGACTGGACTGCTCCCGTCAACCCTGGCCCTGGAGGACTCTTTAGGTTTCTGGGTAACCGTGTGCTCTCAGCTCTGCTGAATCTGTCTCATCAGTTACCGTAAATCTTTTCTCCACTGAGGGCTTTGCCTTGTCATTCTCCCGACAGTGGCTTGTGAAAAGCGCGTAGTGATGATTTTGGAGATATCTAATAATCAGACTTATCATTTTATGGATTCTTGGTTTTGATACTGTATTGAATAAATTCTGCCTTTCTATTTCATTCCATTTATCTCTGGGTCTACTCTTTCTATACTGCTCAACTCCTCTTTACCACTGTAACTTTGAGAACAAAATTTAGAAACACAAATGAGAATTACATACTGACCTGTATCTTTTGACTTTGCTAAAGTTGCTTATTAGTTCTAGGGACGTTTTTGCTCAATTTTTTTTATTTGTTTTTTTTTACGTAGACAATCGCAAAATATGAAAACCGACATTTTATGTATTCCTTTTGATGATAGCCAGCCTCTCACTGCTGGGCACGAGGCTCAGGAACACAACCTAGAGGAGGAAATGTTTATTTGGGCTCCTGGTCAGAGCTGTCAGCACATGATGGTCTGGCTCGGCTGCTTAGGACCTGAGGCCAGGCAGATCCTCAAGGCAGAGGGGCAGGGTGGAGCAAGCTGCTCACCTCGGGACAGCCAGGAAGCAGAGAGAGAGGAATAGAGACAAGAAATGCCCTTCCAAGGCATACCTCCAGAGACTTACTTCCTCCAAGGAGGTCCCACCTCCAGAAATGCCCCTCTCCTCACATTAATGCCACCCAATATCAACACGTCAATGGATCAATCTACTTCTGAGGTTGAAGGCCCAGCTCTGAGTATTGCTGCACTGAGAACCAAAATTTCAACAGGAGTCTTTGGAGAGCACTTCAGATTGGAACCATGATGCTTTCTAATATGTGTGCCTTTATCTTGACTTTTGCACTAAGACCCCTGACATGAGTGAGGCTGGCTAGAAGTATTTAAAGTGGCAGTCACTACTTTGTTATAGTTAAAGCTTTGTCCCAGGGTTTCATAAACTGATTTCCCGACCACTCACGTATAATCAAATCAAGCCTTTATTGAAGCACACCGGTGGCGGCTGACCAGAACATAAAGCTGTTCCCTTGATCGGCCCCGAACAATTGCAAGGGCACTCCTTATAAGCCTGAAAACTGCAAAAGGGATGTTCAGGGGGTCTAGCCAATGCAAGCAAGCCAGGTTACAGAAGCAGGACAGTGCAGTCAAGTGGAGGGAAGCCTAACCAATCACAGTTAGCCCAGTCACCCCAGTTACAGAAACAGAGCCCCATT